TGTTGCCACTCAGCGGGATCCCCCGTGAGCTTCTGAGTGTCGCTCAAACGGTAAACTGCCGCTGCGCGGCAGTTGCGGCTTCTCCTTTTTGTTCACTTTTTTGATTTCTTTTCTGATTTCATCTCTCTCCTTCTCACTTCTTTCACATCGTCAACCATACCACGCTCAACGACACACTTTGGGCTTGGTGATAACAGTTGAAAAATGTTTATTTTCATGCTTAAATTGATATTAAAAGCAACCTTTATACTTAGAAACTAGCTTCAAATCATGCTTTTCTTCATATTTTCAGAAATAAGAGAGCTGGACAGGTTTATGCTTGATTTAGTGTTTTTTTTGTGCAGGTTTTAAGGTGAATTTGGTGAAGACGTGAAGAAGGAGAGATATGGAATCAGAAAGACATCAAATGCAAAAGGAAGCCGAAGTCACCACTCAGTCGGCAGTTTACATCCGCTGAGCAGCACTCAGGAGCTCAGGAGAACCGCTGAGGGGCAAATGGCCGCTGAGGGGAAGAAACGTGACACGCACTTACCGCTGAGCGGCACTTTTATGGGCTTGGACCTAATTTTTCTGTAATTTACAATAATAAATAAGCTTTAGGTTCCTAGGGTTAGGTATCTTTGGCTGGAACGAAGCAAACACTCTCTCGTTCCACCCATTTGAAGGAGGGATCTGGATGCTGAGGGCTTCCTCTTCACCTTTTTAGAGGTTTATCTTTCATTCTTTTCTTCTAATTCATCTAGGTTCACCATGAATATGGTGAACTAAATCTGTAGTTTGTAGGGGAATCAATGTAAATCTTTGAAGCTCTCATATATGGAATCTGTTTTACATCTTTTAATTAAGAACTTATGCTTTCTTCATCATTAGTTAGGGTTTTCCTCTTTGCTTAATGCTTGCATTGTTTAACTCATTGCAGTTATGTGTACCTGATGATTATTAGTTTTGGTCGATACGGCACGTGGGGAAGTCTAGACCGGGAATCTTCCCAATATCAATGGTGTCGTATTCCACTGCACTGTTTTGGATGGGGTTACGTAATAGTGTCGAGGAAGTGTAAGGGTAACCGATGATGCAACTAAGGGTGGATAGAATGGGCTTCTATCTCTGAAGTTGGAGGTTTTGTTACTTTAGGAGGGACATTAACAAGGATGATTTGAATGTTGAATCCTAAAATATGAGAAGTGGATAAGAGAATTGACCCCCAACAACATATTCATACATAATTTCATTGAAAGGTGTTATCTTTGATGTGCCATTGATCAAAACCCATGCATACATTTTATTTCCGTCTTTTGCATATAAAATCCAATATTCGTCTTAAGGTCTTAGCTAATCAAGAAATCACAACTAACTAGGCCGTGAGTCCTTTGGGAAGAAGTACTTGGGTCTTACCAAGTTTTTTCACTTGAACGATTCGGCCACACTTTGCCGATTGAAAAACAAGTTTGTGACATCATATTTTGGTGTTCATAAATTTGTCCATCACTTGGGCCTAAATTTTCTGTAATTTTAGAATAGTATAAAGCTTTAGGACGTCTAGGGTTTTGTATCTTTGGCAGAAACGAAGCAAACACTCTCTCTTCCACCCCTTTGAAGGAGGATCTTGGATGCTCAGGCTACCTCTTCACCTTTCTAGGGTTTTATATCTTTCATTCTTTCATTATTATTCATCTAGTTTCACCATGAATATGGTGAACTAAACCTTGTATTGTTGTTGGGGAACACATGTAGTCTTGTGAACCTCTCATATATGGAATTTTGTGTTTAAACATCATATTTTGATACATGCTTTCTTTCATCATTATTTAGGATTTTTTCCTCTTTGCTCAATGCTTGCTTTGTTTAATAACTCATTCAATGCATAATTATTGATTTTGTCGATACGGAACTACGGGGAAGTCTAGATCCGGGTGAAGTTCTTCCCCAATAGTTATATTGATTGCCGTTAAAGCTCCTGCCTAAAGAACTAATTATTAGGAATGCTAGGAATCGTATGAACTCGTAATTAGGGATAGGCCTTCTTGCAAGGTATTTAGAGAGTGGCATTAACAATGAATGAAAGAAGTTGAATTCCTAAAGTATATGAGAGTGGATAAGAGAAATTGATAACCCCAACAACAATCACTCATCATATTCCATTGAAGTGTTTGTATTTTTGTTTTAGCCATTGATCACATTCATGCTCCATGTTTATTTTCTGTTTTGCATTTAACTTTCCTTATTCGTTCTTAAGTCTTAAATAATCAACAATCACAATAACTAAACTAGGCCGTGAGTCCTTTTGGGAGAACGATACTTGGTCTTAACCGATTTATTACTTGAAACGATTCGGTCACACTTGCCGATTGTTAAACAAGTTTGTGGCGCCGTATTTCGGTGTTCATAAATTTGTCATCAGCTATAAATATGATAGCTCCAGGTCGAGGCAGATCGGCGAGGAACCATGGAATCTGGCGCGGATCGAGCTGATGAACCGAGAATCAGTCGAAGAAACGATTTGAACCGTGAATCCTTAGGTTTGGTATAAGAGAAACAGTGGAAGACGAACATGAAGATAACCCTAGATTTAGTGGTTTGATCGGTGTAGATTCTAGGGTTGGGCGTTTGGGATGTTTTAATCGGTGGAGAGAGAGAATTCACCGATTGAATCGGTGGAATGGAAGAGATCTTAATTCTAATTGGTCAAAAGTAAAGATAGGATTCAGTGGGGGTGAAATCTTGAGAGAAAAGCAAAGAAGATGGTGAAAAGGTGCAGAACAGGGTGCTTACAGTGGCAGAACTCTCTCGAGAGAGAAATGGAAGACAGAGACAAGAGCTCGTGATGGTGGAATGAAGATGTGGCTTGAATGAAGACGTGGAGAATGTATGACGCAAATTTAATTGGAAACGCGTGGCTAATGGACGTAGTGAGGACGTGGTTAAGGTGTTGGAGGTCGTGGATGACACATGCCACGAGGCAAATGAAGATTGGAGGAAAATTTCTTTAATGGAGAGGTGAGAATCTAATTATGAAAAATGAGAGAACGGGTGATGTGAATGGAAGGTGGCTAGAGGGGATACTTTGGGATTCTCTAGTCTTGACTTTCAATGTAGAATTGTTCTGGAGTATTCTCAATAGAATAACAATTCATTATACTCAAAAGTTCCTTACAAGATGTGGTGACATGTTTATATATAAGACTAAAAGTCTCTCTTATCTACCACATGCCTAATACTTTTTATATATGCTTTAATCAAATAAAAAAAATACTATACTAAGATAATTGGGCTTGGCCCTATCTATCAAAATATGTCATTTTTTTTACTGATTTCTATTTTACAAAAAGATATCATGCAATTTGTAAAATTTAACACAACTAAATGTGAAATTAATTATTTTTTATAAAAGAGAATGAAAAACACTTTTTTTAATTATTATATATAATATTTAAAGGAAACTGTAAGAAAATAACGTAGAATGGCCACGTTAGCTATTACTGCTCTCACTCTCGCTCGCGTTTCTTCTTCTTCTTCCAACTTCTTTTTTTCTCGCACCTTCAATCATTTCACTACAAAGTGCGTACCTTTCAGAATCCTACATCAACGACGTCGTTTCTTCTGCCACAACTGCAAAAGGGGAATAGCATCTTCACCAGTCACCATCCCTTCCATTTCCGATAAAATGACCGCACCCTATGGTTCCTGGAAGTCCCCCATCACCACTGACGTCGTCTCCGGCGCCGCCAAGAGGCTCGGAGGCACGGCCGTAGACGCCCGTGGACGTCTCGTCTGGCTTGAATCACGTCCGGCGGAATCAGGGTATGTTTGAGTGCTGTTTGGATGATTTAAAATCACGTTGGAATAGCCGCTAAAGTGATTTTAGGTAAATGTTTGGGGTCTGTTTGATACAAACCTAGAAATGTTTTTGAGAGCTTTATTACTGTAAAAAACACTGTATTTTTATGACAAATGTTCTCAAAACACTTGTAACTTGCATCTAAACATGTTCTTGGTTTTAGCATGATATGTCCTTAGTTTCGTTAACAGGGATTGATTTCGGATATTTAAAATTGATTTTGAGAAAGAAAAAAACGTTGGTTTGTGTTGAATAAAACAATTTGTATTTATTGACTAATGCTAAGTTCCTTTTAGAATAAATAATCTACACATAAATTACTTCATTCCAAAATTAGTTGTAACTAAAATCAGTTTTATAAATTTAATTTCATTGAAAATTACTTCTCTAAATAGTCGTCCAAACAAACAAACTAACTGACAAATACCAAGTGCCCGCCCTTCGGCTTATTAGCTTGGACAAAACCTCGATAAAGTTTTAGGTGTTTTTGGTGATGTATTTACCAATAAAGTTTTACATCGAATTGATGCAATTTGCAGACTTTATTACACGCTGATTACATTTAGAGTTCTAGTCCTAATTGAAAAGTAGCACAAAAATACCCAAGCATTTTATCTTTTGGAGTTTGGAAGTTGGAAAATGTGAAAATTTTAAACTCTTGGAGTTTGCAAATTCACCCATTTATTTTGGCTATTTCCTGTTTTTCAGACGGGGAGTTCTTGTGGTTGAGGCAGAAAATCCGGGAGGTGAGGCTGTGGACATTACACCTAAGGAGTTTGGAGTGAGAACATTGGCTCAGGAATATGGAGGTGGTGCTTTTACTGTTTCAGGGGATGCTGTCTTTTTTGCAAATTACAAAGATCAGAGATTGTACCAGCAGTCCATCAGTTCTCTGGGTTAGTATTGCAAGCATATAATTTCATTATCAAATGCCATATTTTCCAAAACAATGTTATGGCATGTTATTTGACTGGTGGAATGGAAAGGATCAAAAGGAATAAGGTTAATATTTTATGATGGGATGGTGGAATAGTTAGTGAATAATTAGTTGTTTCCATTTCATACTGGCCTAATTGGAGAAAAAGCAAATAGAAGAATTGGATGGAATGGGATTGAATGGATTCTTACTTTTTTTATTCCATTTCTTCCTATTTTAAATGATCCAAACATCAACAATTAATTTAACCATCTCAAATTCCTCCAATCCACCACTTTCAGTAAACATAAATGGCATTTGTGTTTGTGCCCTTTGGATTAATATGTAGACTTACTCTTATATGTCTGCTATATATTGTTTATTTATTTATTTGTGTTTTATTTAACTTTGGTTAACATATACAGATTCATTAGAGATTATCTGGAAATATTGATTTAGTGTCATGTCATGTTATCGTCAAGGGTATATTTAAAGCAATCTTCTTACTAGGGCTGGTATTTTATGCTTAATTCTCTTACAGATGTGCCTCCCATACCTCTTACTCCGGATTATGGGAGCCCAGTAGTCAGCTATGCTGATGGAATATATGATGGACGCTTTAACCGTTTTGTCAGTGTAAGGGAAGGTAAGCAGTCCAGAAAAAAAAAAATAATGTCGTTGACTTATGTCAGAATGTTCCTGATGTTTTTATTTGTTAAACCATTTATTTATTTGGTCCTAAATGTATGAGCATCTTGCTAGATCGTCGAGAGAGTGCTCAAAATCCATCTACAGCAATTGTATATGTAGCACTTGGAAGCAAAGATGTTCAGGGTAATAATTTCTTTTTTTTAGTGAATTTATTCGGTGAATAATGAGTCCTCAAATTCGATTTGAGAAAACATTTTTATTTCAAAATTGCTGAAAATATTATAACATTTTCTTTGTTTCCTGTTGTCAATGATTTATAGGAACTGTTGAAAGCAATTTTTTTCTTTCTTATTACCTTTTCCTATACAAAGAGAAAAATAGGAGGGCAACAATCAATGATAGCTAAGAAAATTATAAATGGGATGAGGGTTTCGAGTGGAACAAGTACCTTTTCTAAGAGCAATAGGCCATGCTGAATCATTTGCACTAGAAGGCGTGGGAGGAGGCGACTAGGGAGAAGAATCTAAAGTAGGAGATTCACCATTGTCTTGGGGAGGCAGACTATCCATTGGAGCCCTGTGTGGCATGATCTCAGTATGTGGAGAAACGGGTTCAGGAGGATTGTGATCAAGACTTGGAATGATAGAGATAGTGGAACTATTTGACTCAGCCATGGAATAGGAAGGACCTGTTGGAGGATAGAAACATCCTGAATAGATGGAGAGAAGTAAGGAGTTTGTTCAAAGAATGTGACATTGACAAACATGAAATACTTCTTAGTTTCATGAGAGTAACACCGATATCCTTTTTGAAGTCGAGAATAGCCTAAGAAGACACATTTGAGAGCGCGAGTAGAGAGTTTGTCTAGACCTGGAGACATGTCATGAACAAAACATACATAACCAAACACTCGGGGAGATGTATGAAAGAGATGATCATTAGGAAACAGAATGGAGAAAGAAATTTTATTATCAAGAGAGGAGGAGGGCATCCTATTAATAAGATAACATGCAGTTAAGATGGCATCCCCCCAGTGATGGACAGGAATATGGGCACCAAGTAAAAGGGTACGAGCAGTTTCAACCAAGTGTCTATTTTTTCGTTCTGCTATACCATTTTGCTGTGGTGTATGAGGACAAGTAGACTGATGTAAGATACCATGGGAACTCAAGATGGCAGAAAAGGAGGATGAGAAATAATCTTTTGCATTATCACTTCTGAATATTTTGATTACTTGACCAAATTGATTCTTATTTTATTCAAAAAGATGTAAAGATGACTAACAATTAAGAACGATTTTTCATAAGATAAACCCAAGTACATCTTGAATATTCATCAATGAAGGTAAAAAAATATCTAAAATCAAAAGAAGAGATATGACTAGGTCCCCATATATCAGAATAGATAATGGAAAAACTAGAATTACATATTGATTGAGACCTTTTAGGAAAGGAAGATCTAACATGTTTTCCTAATTGACATAACTCACATTCTAAGCTCTGGAGACTACTAAGTTCAGGACACATCTTTTTTAATTTGGACAAATGAGGATGGCCAAGTCGATCATGTAGCAGTTTAGGATTAGGAGCAGCAACACAGGACATCCTTGGACGAGGTCCAAAATGGTATAATCCACCAGCTTCATATCCTTCTCCAATCTACCTTCCCGAACCGCGCTCTTGTATAACAAGATTTGTGATCAAAGGTTATTAAATAATTTAACATTTTGGTCAACTGGCTTAGGGAAATTAAATTAAAAGGACAATTAGGGACAAAAAGAACAAAGTTGAGATTGAGGGAGGGAGACAAGGAAACATGACCGACTCCTTTGAAGGAAGTTTTAGATCCATTTGCAAGGGTTATGAAATGAGGTTTTTCTCGAAAGGAAATAGATGAGAACAAAGAGGTATTACTAAAAATGTGATCAGAAGCACCTGAGGCAATTACCCATGAATTTTGACCTTCCATTGATTGAGAAACGCAGGTTGTGGGTGTACTGGGAGATTGAGATGGTTGTTCCAAACTGTCAGACTTTAACCTTAAATACTCTTGATATTCATCCTTGGAGAACTTAGAAGTAGAAGTTTCAGTCTTCGTGGAAGTTTCAGTCTTCGAAATATTGACAGTTTTGGAAGGGAAACCATGTAAGAAGTAACAATTCTCCTGAGTTTGACCCATCCTTTTACAGTATGTACATTGAGGACGTCCACGACCTCCTCGTCCTCCTCCTCTAGTGCCACGTCCTCCTTTTCCTCGTGTGGCAATGTTAGGCAATTAAAGGTTTACGTGAGAAGGGGTAAAAAAGGGATGAAATAAGTAGTGGGAGACGGTGGTTAGTTGGTTAGAAGAGAGAGGGAATATAAATAACAAACATATTAAGGAGAGAGGGGATCGAATATTATTTTGGGAATTGAGACTGGACCTCTTGGCCAGTGGAGGAAGGGAGGCTTCCTTGGGGAAGAGATAGACACCTGTATTCATCTTTTTCTACACATTACAGAGGAAATAGAAATACAGATACATGCATATTCCTTTATACTGTTGAGTGTGTGTATTTTTTGCTACTGTTCGGTTCCTTGTATAAAGGAACCTAACAGATTTGGTCCGACCTGCCGGATCAGTTTCGGAGAGGAGAAGAAGGAGAGGTAGCGAAGAAGCATGGAGGAGCGAATGGGGGCGATGGAGGCGACAATGGAGGAATTGAAGGCAGAGGTGAGGGCGATGACTCTCGCTTTTCAACGAACCTCAGGAAGACGTTCCAAGAACCATGATCGGAGCTCCGCAGGGAGCCGCGACTCCGTCAATGCTGACCGTGAACGAAGATCACTAGAGAGTTCGGAGGATGAGTCGGAAGAGGATGGAGGAGATGTGCAACGAAGTTGGATGAAACGTGTTGAACTTCCAACGTTCGAAGGAACGGACCCCATGGGCTGGATAGCGAAGGCCAAAAAATTCTTTCATATCCAGAACGTGACAGAGAGGGAGAAAATGAAGCTGGTATATATCTATATGGAGGGAGGCGCTAGTTATTGGTTCCGTTTTTGGCGGAAGAAGACTAGACACCCAACTTGGAGCATGTTCACTGCCGCTCTAACACGGAGGTTTGGAGGCTTAAACAGGGGCTCTATTTACGAAAAATTGGCTGCCGTGCGACAAAGGGGAAATGTCGACGAATATATACAAGAGTTTGAAGTACTGGTGGCGCAAGCAGCCGGAGTGAATGAGGAACAACTTTTGGGATACTTCTTCGCTGGGCTGCAAGAAGGATTAAGAAATCTGGTGAGGCCGCATGACCCACGCGATCTGTTGACGACAATGGAGCGAGCACGCGACGTCGAGCAAGCGAGTTCTGTATCGCGAGGTAACAGCGGAATGGGAGGAAAAGGAGGGGTGACCTGGGGAAAGTATTCCTCGAGCTCAGGTACTGTCGCGAGGACGGAGACCTATCGCGGCGCGTCGGAGGGATCGGTAAACGTCGGCGGGGTCGGCAGTGGATCGGGAACGAAGAAGGAAGGCGTTTCTAGCAATGTAACCGCCCGAGCGGGTAGTAGCGGAGGAGGGAATACTCAAGGAAGAGGAGTAAGATTGTTGCCTTATCCCGAATATATAAAAAGGCGTGAAGAAGGGCGTTGTTTCCAGTGTGGAGGCCCATACAGCCCGGGCCATCGGTGTGCTGAAAGGAGTATGAGAGTGATGATTTTGGCGGAAGAAGGTGAAGAAGGAGTCGAAGAGAAGATCGAAATGGTGAACCCGATCGAAATGGAGGCCCCGGTGATGGAACACACGGCGATGGAACTGTCAGGGTTGTCTGCCGGAGGACTCACTCAATCGAATACCATGAAGATGCAAGGATGGATGAAGGGGAGGAAAATTCTGGTGCTAATAGACAGCGGAGCTAGTCATAGCTTTATATCCACCAGATTGGTGAAAGAATTGGGTCTGGAAAGCATTGACACCCATCCCTATAAAGTGTGCTTAGGTGATGGGCAAAAGAAAATAACCAGTGGATATTGCACAGGGGTTACCGTGAAATTAGATGGGCTGGAAGTTAGAGATAAACTATATCTCTTTGAGTTAGGCGGTGTGGATGTGATATTAGGAATCACTTGGTTAGCTTCCCTAGGAGAAATTAAAGTGGATTGGGGACACCTAATTATGAAGGTGGAGGTTGAAGGGAAAATAGTGGAGATAAAAGGAGATCCCACTTTAACACGTCAAATGGTGACACCCGAAGTTCTCTTAAAAGAAAAGGAGATAGAAGCCATGACTCTCGTGTGGAGCTTAAGTCAAGCAGAAGCGGTGGAGGGAGAGGGGAAAACAGAGAGATGGACACCGACTCAAGAAGCAGGGCTGAAGCAGATTTTGTCAGATTTCGAAGGAGTATTTCGAGAACCTCAGGGGCTGCCACCTGAGAGGAAAGTTGATCACCGAGTACCCTTGAAGGAAGGAACAGAGCCCATAAGTGTCAGGCCATACCGCTACCCACACCTCATGAAAACAGAGATAGAGAAACAAGTTGAGGAAATGTTGAAACTCGGTGTGATTCGTCCCAGCAATAGTCCATATTCAAGCCCAGTAATATTAGTGAAAAAAAAAGATGGGAGCTGGAGATTTTGTGTAGATTACAGGGCACTTAATAGAGTCACAGTAGCGGATAAATACCCAATACCAGTTATAGAAGAACTGCTGGATGAGCTTCAAGGGGCAAGGTATTTTTCTAAGGTTGATTTAAGGGCTGGATATCATCAGATCAGGATGAAAAATGAAGATATTCCTAAGACAGCCTTTAGAACGCATCAAGGGCACTACGAGTTCCTCGTTATGCCTTTTGGGTTGACAAACGCCCCTGCCACGTTCCAAGATATGATGAATTCTGTCCTCAGGCCATTTTTGAGGAGGTGCGTGTTAGTTTTTTTTGATGATATACTAATATACAGTAAATCTTGGGATGAACATATGCAACATTTACAGCAAGTTCTGGAGGTGTTAGCACAGCAGAAATTATTTGCTAATAGAAACAAATGCGAATTTGGGAGAGAACAAATTCGTTATTTGGGGCATAAAATTTCAAAGGCGGGAGTTGAGATGGATGAGGAGAAGGTTTCTGCGGTGACAGCATGGCCTGAACCAAAGAGTATCAGAGAGTTGAGAGGGTTCTTAGGTCTGACTGGATACTACAGGAGATTCATCAGAGGGTTTCGGCGGTGACAGCATGGCCTGAACCAAAGACATGCTTTTGATTATTGAGTTTTTTGACAGACATTATTGTCTTGTGAGGGAGGTTATGCTCTCAAAGTAATTGAAGGAGGTTATGCTCCCAATTATTGTTTATCCTTGTTTATTCAGATATTACCATCAATAAAAGAGATTCATTCATCCACTATCATTCGTTTATTGTTCTGTTACTTGTGAGAGAGTGTGAAAGGTTATATTTGGCTAGTTTACATACTCAGGTACGTAAAAATTGGTCCGACCTGCCGGATCGTCAAGGGAGGAAACTGCCGGATCCTAATAGAGACGAGTGAAAGACATCATGGAGGGAAGAATGAATGCAATTGAAGGGAAACTAGAGAGCATGGAGCAAAGACTAAAGAACATGGAGTTATCCCTAAGGAGGTTGAAGGCAGAGTTGAGTGGAATACGCCATGAAGTCCAAGCTCCAAATGGGGAGGGACTGCTGGAACCGAACGATAGTGGACTAACGGATCTGAACGTGAGCGAACTGCCAGAACCGAACGATAGCAGACTGCTGGATCCGAACGTGAAAGAACGGACGAAACCTACAGAGAGAGGACTTACCGAGCCGAACGGGAGGAGACGACCAGAACCGAACGTGAGAAAACTACCTAGACCAAACGGTCTAGTATTGAAAGGAAGAGTGAAGGCTTTGGAAGGAAGGGCAGATGGAAGAATCAATACCCTGGAGAGAACAATGGAGTCTGTGAAGAGATGGGCCGACAAAAAGAACAAGGAGCTTGAAATGTTTGGTACACTGGCAGAAGGAAGAGAGCGACGTGGAGTACTGAAAGACATTGAAAATCATTCCCTCAGGGCTTATGATTCAGGAGAAGTGGTAACCAGAATGCTAGACGAAGAATGGAAGACATTAGAGAAGGTTTTACCACCACCCGAACCTCCAGACATGAATTGATGAGGAGCCATGAGATCAAGCTCCCCGTTTCCAACCTTGAGGACAAGGTTGTTTTGCAGCGGGGTGTAATGTTACGATATAAGGTAGAGGTAATAACAAGGGTTGGAAAGTATATGAGCAGAGAGAATATTTAGTATAAGTTAATTAGAGTAAATAAATATAATGTAAGTTAATTAGAGTAAATAAATATATATTTAGGGAAATATTCAATATAAGATATTTATAATTAAGGATATATGTTAGGATAATATACGGAGAGATATTTATATTAAATATAGGGATATTTATATTAAATATTAAATATAGGGATATTTATATTAAATATTAAATATAGGGATATTTATATTAAATATTAAATATAGGAATATTTATATTAAATATTAAATATAGGGATATTTATATTAAATATATTCTAGAGAAATATTTAATAAGAGATGGGCGGGAAATAATTAGTATAAATAAAGTTAGAGTCTAGGGTTAAAGACATGCTTTTGATTATTGAGTTTTGTGACAGACATTATTGTCTTGTGAGGGAGGTTATGCTCTCAAAGTAATTGAAGGAGGTTATGTTCCCAATTATTGTTTATCCTTGTTTATTCAGATATTAAAAGAGATTCATTCATCCACTATCATTCGTTTATTGTTCTGTTACTTGTGAGAGAGTGTGAAAGGTTATATTTGGCTAGTTTGCGTACTCAGGTACGTCACAAATTTTCTGATCGTTGTACTCGAAAACAGAAAAAAAAGGCTATAAACGAGTAACCCATTAACTACCTATAAGTCTCCAACTACTAATACATTAACTACCCATAAGACTCTAACATTAACTACTGTCCATTTAAGCTTATTCTAACAAATATTTCATTTTCGCTTGTTAAAAGTTTTCATATATTGGGTAGTTTCCCTTTCTTGATGACTGTTTGGTCATGCAATCAATATTATGTCTAACTAGATTGTGTGACATTCAGAAGCCCAGGTACTAGTTAGTGGAAGTGACTTCTATGCTTTCCCACGTCTTGATCCAAAAAGTGAAAGAATAGCTTGGATTCAGTGGAGTCATCCATACATGCCATGGGATAAATCAGAACTTTGGGTTGGCTATATTTCTGAAAAAGGGTGAGTAGAACTCTAATAAAATTGAAATTTGAAAAAGTTAAGTTTTCTTATCGTGTTTGTCACGTAATTGAAGTGACAATGAGATACTCTTTAAGTTCATATAATGTGTGAGATTTTAGTTTCTTTGTATTGATTACAAGTCTATTCATGATACAGTTTCATATAATATGAACAACTTATATTTTTTGCAGATATTCAGTTCTTTTTTGAATCACACAGTGCTAATTTATCACTTATTGATAAAATTGATACTCTTCATAATTTTCATGCAATTTTTTTCGGATATGATGATTTTTCTTCCAGAGGATTTTTCCTGTTTCCATCCATTTCCAACTCTTCTTCTGGATCTAGTTTCCTAGTTCCATGTTATAGTTGGAGTGGTTGTTTTCTTATTCTATACCATGTTTCAACTTGAAGCTTAATCATCTTATGGTTCCATGCAGAGAGATCTACAAGCAGGTGTCTGTTGCGGGGAATGATCCTGCACTGGTGGAGTCCCCAACTGAGCCCAAGTGGTCTTCTGATGGTAAATAAAAATGTTATTTTTAGTTTTTGTTTATCAAATAATTTATTTATGGGTTCTTTTGTCATTGAATGTTATTAATTCAGAGCTTACCAATTGATTTGAATGGAAACCTTTGTTATGATCTATCTGCGCATTGTGATTTATTTTATTTTTAAGTGAACAGGGGAGCTGTTTTTCATCACGGATAGGGCAAATGGTTTTTGGAATCTCCATAAATGGGTAATTCTTTAACTTTTATTTCCCGCAAAAGCATTTGTGTATAGAGTGGGTTTTTATTTACTTTTGATTCTCTAATTTGTACACTGATAAATACACATTATACTCTGGATAATTTTATATGGAAGGTCATGTTTGAGATATATATTTTTTGGTGGCTTGATGGATACAAATTGTTATGTTACTCGTAAAGTTCATTGAACAAGTTTATGTTTTTGTAATGTAGGTTTGTTACGTTTCTAATTAGGAAACCCAACCACAATGCACTCTCTCACACAGAACACCAGAAAGAATGAAAGAATGCTGTTATTCACAAGTAATCTCAATGTACAATGAATGTCACGAGAGCATAACCTCTCTCAACAGAGTTCCTAGAACCTGTTATGTATCTTACAATCACCAAAAGTCCTCTACCCTTTTCTAATAGAGGCATTTATAATACCAGCTCTTCCCGCCCACTTACTAACAACCACTTAATCGTAAAGACAGTTAAGTCATCTAGTTCTCTCCCTCCTCTTGTAAAATAACCAGGGTCTATCATTACCCACCGCCCATGTTCAACCTTCTCCTCAAGGTTGAATTCTGGGTATTGATCACGTATGGTAATGACATCCTCACATGTTGCTCCATCACGGCCTCCTTCTTGCCACTCAACCAGCACTTGTTGAACTTCCTCGTCTCCCCTTTTTATTTGTCTTCGGTCAAGAACCTTAGTAGGCCAATAAGATGGCCCTTCCCCCTGCAGATCTTCAGGCAGCTCCTTCTCCATAGTCCTGTCTCCCACAGCCTTCTTCAATTGGGAAGCATGGAAAACCGGGTGAATACGAGCTGATGTTGGTAGCTGGAGTTTATAAGCCACTTTCCCCACCTTTTGTTCAACCTGATACGACCCATAATATCGGGCCGCCAGCTTAGCGTGCAGTTTAGATGGCATCTATGTTTGTTTATGTGGCCTAATCTTGAGATATAACCAATCTCCCTCTTCAATATCTGCTGCCCTCCTTTTCTTATTTGCTTATCTGACCATGAGTTGTGCCCGTACTAAATGAAACTTCAATTGTTGCAAAGCTTTGTCTCGTGTCTGTAATTCTTGAGCAACTGCTTCCACAGCTGTTTCCCCTGGGATAAACCTGTGTAATGATGGGGGCTGTCGGCCATAAACCACCTCGAAAGGAGTACATTTCGCAGCTCCTTGGAAACTGGTGTTATATCGGTATTCCACCCAGGGTAAAATCCCACTCCACCCCTTCGGTTGTTCCGAACAAAAGCAACGTAAATATCCTTCCAGAACTCTATTTAATACTTATGTCTGTCCATCTGTTTCTGGATGGTTAGCCGTGCTCATTTGCAGTTGAGTTCCTTGTCTCTTGAATTATTCTTTCCAGAAAATACTCATGAACAAAGGGTCACGGTCACTTACCACCGAAGCTGGTATTCCATGTAATCGGACCACTTCCCTTATGAACACATTAGCTATGGTGCATGCCGAATATGGGTGTTTCAGTGGCACGAAATGGCCATATTTGCTTAAGCAATCTACTACTACCATTACTGCATCATAACCATTCGACTTCGGTAGTTTAACTATGAAATGCATACTGATTTCTTCCCATGCAGCAGACCCTGAGGGGAAGACGTGAGATACTTATGCTGCTGACACACTACGCAACCCGCCACATAATCTGTCACTGTTTTTTTAATTCCCACGCAGTAAAGTGACTAGGCCACCCTCCTATAGGTTCTGTATATCCCTGAATGTCCCCTAGTCTGGGTTAGGTGGAACTCGTCCAACAGTTTTTGAATCCACGTTGACTGAGCTGACACCACCAACCTTCCTTTGTAATGCAACCTCTCATTTTCTAGCGTGAAAGAAGGGTGAGTCTAGGTCTTTCTTGATGTCTTCGATTATCTTCCTCAGATAAGCATCCTCCTCTACCTCCTTCATCACCTCTTCAAAACTCTGCCAATAGGGTTTGGATAGCACCTTCAGTTCTTTTTCCCCTTCCTCCGATTCCTCCATTCTCCTGGACAGGGCATCTGCTGCTCTGTTAGTCTTGCCGGCTTTATAAACTATTTCGAAATCATACCCAAGTAGTTTGGCCAGCCAATTCTGCTGGTTTTGGGTCGTGATTCTCTGCTCCAACAAATGCCGCAAGCTCTTTTGGTCGGTGTACACTACAAACCGCTGTCCCAACAAGTAAGGTCTCCAATGTTGTATGGCCATCACCAGTGCCATAAGCTCTTTCTCATAGATCGATTTGTTTAATGATCCAGCGGATAAAGCTTTGCTAAAATACGCTATAGGCCTCCTGTCCTGTGTCAAGACTGCTTCGACTCCTTCTCCTGTGGAATGGCTTCTCAAAATCGGGTAATATCAGTACGGGTGCTGTGGTCACTGCCTCCTTCAATCGTCTCATCGGCTCTTCCGCCCTCTCATTCAACTTGTACTTCCCTTTCTTCAATAATTCGGTCAAGGGTTTAGCCACCTTGCCATAGTCTTTGACAAATCGACGGTAATATCCCGTCAATCCCAGGAAGCCCCTCAATTCCTTCACATTCCTCGGCCTTTCCCACTCTAGCACTGCTTTAACTTTGCTTGGATCCATCTCTACCCCCTTCTCTGAGATCAAGTGGCCTAAGTATCCAATCTGGACTCTTCCAAATTCACTCTTCTTCTGATTGGCAACCCAACAATTCTCCTCCAACCTCCCCAGCACCATCCCTACATGTTTCATATGCTCAGCCCATGTTTGACTGTAGACCAGAATATCGTCGAAGAAGACTAAGACAAATCTCCTTATGTAAGGTTGCAGCAACTCGTTCATGGCGCTTTGAAAGGTCGATGGGGCATTGGTCAAGCCAAATGGCATTACCACAAATCCATAATGCCCCAAATGTGTTCTAAAGGCTGTCCTCGGTATATCTTTCTCCCCCATGCGTATCTGGTGATATCCATATTTCAGGTCCACCTTAGAGAAGTATTGCGCTCCTCTCAACTCGTCCAGCAACTCTTCTATAACTGGGATGGGAAACTTGTCGGGGATCGTGGCGAGATTCAAGGCTCTGTAGTCCATACAAAATCTCCAAGAGTCGTCGTTCTTCTTCACCAGTATGACAGGACTGGAATATGGGCTAGTACTTGGCCGAATTACCCCGGTTTGTAGCATATCCGCTACCTGTTTTTCTATCTCATTCTTTAGGATATGTGGGTATCTATAGGGTCTTACATTTATCGGGTCTACTCCCTCCTTTAGGGGTATCTGATGTGCCATACGTCTTTCGGGTGGCAACCCATTAAATTCTTGAAACACCCCTGCATGTTGATTCAACAGTTCATCCATCTCCCTTCTCTGGTCCTCTGTTATTCCCTGTTCGTCAATTTCCCCATCGCCCTTCTCCATCTCGCCCACTTTCCAGACTAACATCCATGCCTCTGCCTCCTTTATTTTTAATAGCGCCTCCGGAGTCACCAACCTCTTGGCTAGTTTAGGATCCCCCTTGATAGTCACCTCCTTACCCTCTTGGTTGAAGGTCATCGTTAGGTGGCTTCAATCCAGAGTCACCTTCCCAAGCGTAACCAGCCATTCTACCCCCATAATCACATCCACACGTCCCAAGTCAAACAAGTGTACTCTCGTTGTGACTTCCACGTCCCATATACGAATTTGCACCCCTTCACAGCAACCTCGGGTCTCCTTCTTCCACCCATCCGCCAGACTAACCATGTACGGCTTAGTGTCCGTTGTAGTCAATCCCAGTTCCTCCTCTATTAATGAAGTTGAGACTAGCTCCGCTATCAACCAATACTATCACCCTTCTCCCCTTGATCTCTCCCTGCATCTTCATCGTCTTGGCGTGCGTTAGGCCCCCAGCAGAACATGCCCGAGAGTTCCATTTGCAACTGAGTCACTTCCGACTCACTAGCGGTTTCGTTCTCCTCTTCGTCCTCCACCAAGATCAACATTCTCAAACTCCTTTCTGGGCATTGATGTCCAGGTCGGAAAGGCCCCCAGACCTAAAACACTTGCCCTCTTCCTTGCGTTTCACGTACTCCGCGTAAGGTAAGTTGCGGAAGTTTCGGCCTCTGTTTTCGACGTTGTTCGATGCCGCTACACTCGCTTGGTTTACTTCTCTACTCACTGACCCTCCACTCTCTATTGGACCCGTTCGACCCGAGTTTTGACGGACGTTTTCAACTCGCGACACCGTCCCGATCGGCCTAGTGCAGTTCGACATGCCTCTCCCCATTCCTCCTGTTTTCGTACCCCCATGCAAGGCTTCCCCGTCGCGTGCGATACGTATTGCGACCATCATGATGGAAGAAGGATTGGCTGATGCGGGTGGAGGAACAAATCAACCAAGCTCACCTCTGACTTGGACCATAGAAGCACCCAGCAAAGGAAGAGGTGCTTCGGCAATGCAGCGGAATGGGTTGAAGATGACTGGAGGAAACAGAAAAGTAAGTGGAATGAAACAGTGGTTCGGTGAAGGAGAAACTGAAGCACAATTTCAAACGGTGGTGTTCTGTGAATTGGGAAGTGCAATGGAGGCAGAGATTTGGGTGCTGAAATGTGATGCGGATGGGTGGAGATGTGCTAGTAATGGAGCGTAGCTAGGGAGAGAGGCTAGAGGAAACTCTCAAGCTCTCTCTCGATGACCTTCAGTAAGAAGAAAGTTCTGAACAGCATCAACAAAAACTATTCTTCATTCAAATCAAAGGTAAAGGTTACAAGCAATGGAGCAAGCTATTTAAAGGAGAAACAAAGCTCCTGGTTCACGCTTATTTAGCTAATGATAACTATGATGCAATGGAGCAAGTGCCCAGCTATGCAAGTGTGAAGAAAACATGAAGAGCCACGTGGAGATCTCTTGAATCTGCTGAAACGTTTTTGAAGCTGCTGGTTGCACACGAAAGGTGCTGGATGCACGTGGAAGATCACAGCTGGTGCTGGATGCACGTCAGGCTTCATATGGTGCAAAATTATATGGTGAAAAATCAAGAAAGAGTTTCTAAAAGTCCTTCTCCAACGTCCCTTTCTTAGCCTTAGATTAAGTTCGTACTCCTTTGAATGGAATGCCCTAAATGAGTTTCTATCATACCCTCCCTCTTGAAAAACGATTTGTCCTCAAATTGGAAAGATATAAAGAAGCACAACTTTGGTTTGTCAGGATCAAAAAGATATCTGCAATAAGCATCAAATATATCTCCAATTAGTATCAATCTAAGAAAGAATTTTTTTATGGAAGTAACTTTAGAATAAGGACTTTCTATATTTTGTTTTATAGTTTTAAGGAAATTTAAAAGTCCTAATTCACAAGTCACTTTTCTTTTGTCTTGAGTTGCTTGTTTCCTTAAGGGTAACAATAACTCAAGATTTAAATTGCCATATTTTGAAGAGGGTAGTATAATGATAATTTGTGTGGCAATTGGTTTAAAAGAGAAGTTATCATGCAAAGACTTAAAGATAATTGAAGAAGAATTAAAGGATTGGAAACCTTCCCTTTTTGGTTTCCTTTGAATTGTAGGAGTAGAATTTGCCATCAGTAGCAAATGCTCCTTTTCTCTCTTTTCTTTTTCTCTTCTCTCATCTTTTGCTCTCTTCTCTTCTTCTCTCTTTCTCTTTTCTTCTTCTATCTTTTCTCTCAATTCCTCTTCTCTCCTTCTAGTCTCTCTCTTTCTTCTCTTATCCAAGAGTTTCTCAAGTTTTTCTTTAAATTCAATTTCCCTTCTAGAGAAACCATCTAGACCNTGATGAATTCTGTCCTCAGGCCATTTTTGAGGAGGTGCGTGTTAGTTTTTTTTGATGATATACTAATATACAGTAAATCTTGGGACGAACATATGCAACATTTACAGCAAGTTCTGGAGGTGTTAGCACAGCAGAAATTATTTGCTAATAGAAACAAATGCGAATTTGGGAGAGAACAAATTCGTTATTTGGGGCATAAAATTTCAAAGGCGGGAGTTGAGATGGATGAGGAGAAGGTTTCGGCGGTGACAGCATGGCCTGAACCAAAGAGTATCAGAGAGTTGAGAGGGTTCTTAGGTCTGACTGGATACTACAGGAGATTCATCAGAGGGTTTCGGCGGTGACAGCATGGCCTGAACCAAAGACATGCTTTTGATTATTGAGTTTTTTGACAGACATTATTGTCTTGTGAGGGAGGTTATGCTCTCAAAGTAATTGAAGGAGGTTATGCTCCCAATTATTGTTTATCCTTGTTTATTCAGATATTACCATCAATAAAAGAGATTCATTCATCCACTATCATTCGTTTATTGTTCTGTTACTTGTGAGAGAGTGTGAAAGGTTATATTTGGCTAGTTTACATACTCAGGTACGTAATAATTGGTCCGACCTGCCGGATCGTCAAGGGAGGAAACTGCCGGATCCTAATAGAGACGAGTGAAAGACATCATGGAGGGAAGAATGAATGCAGTTGAAGGGAAACTAGAGAGCATGGGGCAGAGACTAAAGAACATGGAGTTGTCCCTAAGGAGGTTGAAGGCAGAGTTGAGTGGAATACGCCATGAAGTCCAAGCTCCAAATGGGGAGGGACTGCTGGAACCGAACGATAGTGGACTAACGGATCTGAACGTGAGCGAACTGCCAGAACCGAACGATAGCAGACTGCTGGATCCGAACGTGAAAGAACGGACGAAACCTACAGAGAGAGGACTTACCGAGCCGAACGGGAGGAGACGACCAGAACCGAACGTGAGAAAACTACCTAGACCAAACGGTCTAGTATTGAAAGGAAGAGTGAAGGCTTTGGAAGGAAGGGCAGATGGAAGAATCAATACCCTGGAGAGAACAATGGAGTCTGTGAAGAGATGGGCCGACAAAAAGAACAAGGTGCTTGTAGTGTTTGGTACACTGGCAGAAGGAAGAGAGCGACGTGGAGTACTGAAAGACATTGAAAATCATTCCCTCAGGGCTTATGATTCAGGAGAAGTGGTAACCAGAATGCTAGACGAAGAATGGAAGACATTAGAGAAGGTTTTACCACCACCCGAACCTCCAGACATGAATTGATGAGGAGCCATGAGATCAAGCTCCCCGTTTCCAACCTTGAGGACAAGGTTGTTTTGCAGCGGGGTGTAATGTTACGATATAAGGTAGAGGTAATAACAAGGGTTGGAAAGTATATGAGCAGAGAGAATATTTAGTATAAGTTAATTAGAGTAAATAAATATAATGTAAGTTAATTAGAGTAAATAAATATATATTTAGGGAAATATTCAATATAAGATATTTATAATTAAGGATATATGTTAGGATAATATACGGAGAGATATTTATATTAAATATAGGGATATTTATATTAAATATTAAATATAGGGATATTTATATTAAATATTAAATATAAGGATATTTATATTAAATGCAGATATATTCTAGAGAAATATTTAATAAGAGATGGACGGGAAATAATTAATATAAATAAAGTTAGAGTCTAGGGTTAAAGACATGCTTTTGATTATTGAGTTTTGTGACAGACATTATTGTTTTGTGAGGGAGGTTATGCTCTCAAAGTAATTGAAGGAGGTTATGTTCCCAATTATTGTTTATCCTTGTTTATTCAGATATTAAAAGAGATTCATTCATCCACTATCATTCGTTTATTGTTCTGTTACTTGTGAGAGAGTGTGAAAGGTTATATTTGGCTAGTTTGCGTACTCAGGTACGTCACAAATTTTCTGATCGTTGTACTCGAAAACAGAAAAAAAAGGCTATAAACGAGTAACCCATTAACTACCTATAAGTCTCCAACTACTAATACATTAACTACCCATAAGACTCTAACATTAACTACTGTCCATTTAAGCTTATTCTAACAAATATTTCATTTTCGCTTGTTAAAAGTTTTCATATATTGGGTAGTTTCCCTTTCTTGATGACTGTTTGGTCATGCAATCAATATTATGTCTAACTAGATTGTGTGACATTCAGAAGCCCAGGTACTAGTTAGTGGAAGTGACTTCTATGCTTTCCCACGTCTTGATCCAAAAAGTGAAAGAATAGCTTGGATTCAGTGGAGTCATCCATACATGCCATGGGATAAATCAGAACTTTGGGTTGGCTATATTTCTGAAAAAGGGTGAGTAGAACTCTAATAAAATTGAAATTTGAAAAAGTTAAGTTTTCTTATCGTGTTTGTCACGTAATTGAAGTGACAATGAGATACTCTTTAAGTTCATATAATGTGTGAGATTTTAGTTTCTTTGTATTGATTACAAGTCTATTCATGATACAGTTTCATATAATATGAACAACTTATATTTTTTGCAGATATTCAGTTCTTTTTTGAATCACACAGTGCTAATTTATCACTTATTGATAAAATTGATACTCTTCATAATTTTCATGCAATTTTTTTCGGATATGATGATTTTTCTTCCAGAGGATTTTTCCTGTTTCCATCCATTTCCAACTCTTCTTCTGGATCTAGTTTCCTAGTTCCATGTTATAGTTGGAGTGGTTGTTTTCTTATTCTATACCATGTTTCAACTTGAAGCTTAATCATCTTATGGTTCCATGCAGAGAGATCTACAAGCAGGTGTCTGTTGCGGGGAATGATCCTGCACTGGTGGAGTCCCCAACTGAGCCCAAGTGGTCTTCTGATGGTAAATAAAAATGTTATTTTTAGTTTTTGTTTATCAAATAATTTATTTATGGGTTCTTTTGTCATTGAATGTTATTAATTCAGAGCTTACCAATTGATTTGAATGGAAACCTTTGTTATGATCTATCTGCGCATTGTGATTTATTTTATTTTTAAGTGAACAGGGGAGCTGTTTTTCATCACGGATAGGGCAAATGGTTTTTGGAATCTCCATAAATGGGTAATTCTTTAACTTTTATTTCCCGCAAAAGCATTTGTGTATAGAGTGGGTTTTTATTTACTTTTGATTCTCTAATTTGTACACTGATAAATACACATTATACTCTGGATAATTTTATATGGAAGGTCATGTTTGAGATATATATTTTTTGGTGGCTTGATGGATACAAATTGTTATGTTACTCGTAAAGTTCATTGAACAAGTTTATGTTTTTGTAATGTAGGTTTGTTACGTTTCTAATTAGGAAACCCAACCACAATGCACTCTCTCACACAGAACACCAGAAAGAATGAAAGAATGCTGTTATTCACAAGTAATCTCAATGTACAATGAATGTCACGAGAGCATAACCTCTCTCAACAGAGTTCCTAGAACCTGTTATGTATCTTACAATCACCAAAAGTCCTCTACCCTTTTCTAATAGAGGCATTTATAATACCAGCTCTTCCCGCCCACTTACTAACAACCACTTAATCGTAAAGACAGTTAAGTCATCTAGTTCTCTCCCTCCTCTTGTAAAATAACCAGGGTCTATCATTACCCACCGCCCATGTTCAACCTTCTCCTCAAGGTTGAATTCTGGGTATTGATCACGTATGGTAATGACATCCTCACATGTTGCTCCATCACGGCCTCCTTCTTGCCACTCAACCAGCACTTGTTGAACTTCCTCGTCTCCCCTTTTTATTTGTCTTCGGTCAAGAACCTTAGTAGGCCAATAAGATGGCCCTTCCCCCTGCAGATCTTCAGGCAGCTCCTTCTCCATAGTCCTGTCTCCCACAGCCTTCTTCAATTGGGAAGCATGGAAAACCGGGTGAATACGAGCTGATGTTGGTAGCTGGAGTTTATAAGCCACTTTCCCCACCTTTTGTTCAACCTGATACGACCCATAATATCGGGCCGCCAGCTTAGCGTGCAGTTTAGATGGCATCTATGTTTGTTTATGTGGCCTAATCTTGAGATATAACCAATCTCCCTCTTCAATATCTGCTGCCCTCCTTTTCTTATTTGCTTATCTGGCCATGAGTTGTGCCCGTACTAAATGAAACTTCAATTGTTGCAAAGCTTTGTCTCGTGTCTGTAATTCTTGAGCAACTGCTTCCACAGCTGTTTCCCCTGGGATAAACCTGTGTAATGATGGGGGCTGTCGGCCATAAACCACCTCGAAAGGAGTACATTTCGCAGCTCCTTGGAAACTGGTGTTATATCGGTATTCCACCCAGGGTAAAATCCCACTCCACCCCTTCGGTTGTTCCGAACAAAAGCAACGTAAATATCCTTCCAGAACTCTATTTAATACTTATGTCTGTCCATCTGTTTCTGGATGGTTAGCCGTGCTCATTTGCAGTTGAGTTCCTTGTCTCTTGAATTATTCTTTCCAGAAAATACTCATGAACAAAGGGTCACGGTCACTTACCACCGAAGCTGGTATTCCATGTAATCGGACCACTTCCCTTATGAACACATTAGCTATGGTGCATGCCGAATATGGGTGTTTCAGTGGCACGAAATGGCCATATTTGCTTAAGCAATCTACTACTACCATTACTGCATCATAACCATTCGACTTCGGTAGTTTAACTATGAAATGCATACTGATTTCTTCCCATGCAGCAGACCCTGAGGGGAAGACGTGAGATACTTATGCTGCTGACACACTACGCAACCCGCCACATAATCTGTCACTGTTTTTTTAATTCCCACGCAGTAAAGTGACTAGGCCACCCTCCTATAGGTTCTGTATATCCCTGAATGTCCCCTAGTCTGGGTTAGGTGGAACTCGTCCAACAGTTTTTGAATCCACGTTGACTGAGCTGACACCACCAACCTTCCTTTGTAATGCAACCTCTCATTTTCTAGCGTGAAAGAAGGGTGAGTCTAGGTCTTTCTTGATGTCTTCGATTATCTTCCTCAGATAAGCATCCTCCTCTACCTCCTTCATCACCTCTTCAAAACTCTGCCAATAGGGTTTGGATAGCACCTTCAGTTCTTTTTCCCCTTCCTCCGATTCCTCCATTCTCCTGGACAGGGCATCTGCTGCTCTGTTAGTCTTGCCGGCTTTATAAACTATTTCGAAATCATACCCAAGTAGTTTGGCCAGCCAATTCTGCTGGTTTTGGGTCGTGATTCTCTGCTCCAACAAATGCCGCAAGCTCTTTTGGTCGGTGTACACTACAAACCGCTGTCCCAACAAGTAAGGTCTCCAATGTTGTATGGCCATCACCAGTGCCATAAGCTCTTTCTCATAGATCGATTTGTTTAATGATCCAGCGGATAAAGCTTTGCTAAAATACGCTATAGGCCTCCTGTCCTGTGTCAAGACTGCTTCGACTCCTTCTCCTGTGGAATGGCTTCTCAAAATCGGGTAATATCAGTACGGGTGCTGTGGTCACTGCCTCCTTCAATCGTCTCATCGGCTCTTCCGCCCTCTCATTCAACTTGTACTTCCCTTTCTTCAATAATTCGGTCAAGGGTTTAGCCACCTTGCCATAGTCTTTGACAAATCGACGGTAATATCCCGTCAATCCCAGGAAGCCCCTCAATTCCTTCACATTCCTCGGCCTTTCCCACTCTAGCACTGCTTTAACTTTGCTTGGATCCATCTCTACCCCCTTCTCTGAGATCAAGTGGCCTAAGTATCCAATCTGGACTCTTCCAAATTCACTCTTCTTCTGATTGGCAACCCAACAATTCTCCTCCAACCTCCCCAGCACCATCCCTACATGTTTCATATGCTCAGCCCATGTTTGACTGTAGACCAGAATATCGTCGAAGAAGACTAAGACAAATCTCCTTATGTAAGGTTGCAGCAACTCGTTCATGGCGCTTTGAAAGGTCGATGGGGCATTGGTCAAGCCAAATGGCATTACCACAAATCCATAATGCCCCAAATGTGTTCTAAAGGCTGTCCTCGGTATATCTTTCTCCCCCATGCGTATCTGGTGATATCCATATTTCAGGTCCACCTTAGAGAAGTATTGCGCTCCTCTCAACTCGTCCAGCAACTCTTCTATAACTGGGATGGGAAACTTGTCGGGGATCGTGGCGAGATTCAAGGCTCTGTAGTCCATACAAAATCTCCAAGAGTCGTCGTTCTTCTTCACCAGTATGACAGGACTGGAATATGGGCTAGTACTTGGCCGAATTACCCCGGTTTGTAGCATATCCGCTACCTGTTTTTCTATCTCATTCTTTAGGATATGTGGGTATCTATAGGGTCTTACATTTATCGGGTCTACTCCCTCCTTTAGGGGTATCTGATGTGCCATACGTCTTTCGGGTGGCAACCCATTAAATTCTTGAAACACCCCTGCATGTTGATTCAACAGTTCATCCATCTCCCTTCTCTGGTCCTCTGTTATTCCCTGTTCGTCAATTTCCCCATCGCCCTTCTCCATCTCGCCCACTTTCCAGACTAACATCCATGCCTCTGCCTCCTTTATTTTTAATAGCGCCTCCGGAGTCACCAACCTCTTGGCTAGTTTAGGATCCCCCTTGATAGTCACCTCCTTACCCTCTTGGTTGAAGGTCATCGTTAGGTGGCTTCAATCCAGAGTCACCTTCCCAAGCGTAACCAGCCATTCTACCCCCATAATCACATCCACACGTCCCAAGTCAAACAAGTGTACTCTCGTTGTGACTTCCACGTCCCATATACGAATTTGCACCCCTTCACAGCAACCTCGGGTCTCCTTCTTCCACCCATCCGCCAGACTAACCATGTACGGCTTAGTGTCCGTTGTAGTCAATCCCAGTTCCTCCTCTATTAATGAAGTTGAGACTAGCTCCGCTATCAACCAATACTATCACCCTTCTCCCCTTGATCTCTCCCTGCATCTTCATCGTCTTGGCGTGCGTTAGGCCCCCAGCAGAACATGCCCGAGAGTTCCATTTGCAACTGAGTCACTTCCGACTCACTAGCGGTTTCGTTCTCCTCTTCGTCCTCCACCAAGATCAACATTCTCAAACTCCTTTCTGGGCATTGATGTCCAGGTCGGAAAGGCCCCCAGACCTAAAACACTTGCCCTCTTCCTTGCGTTTCACGTACTCCGCGTAAGGTAAGTTGCGGAAGTTTCGGCCTCTGTTTTCGACGTTGTTCGATGCCGCTACACTCGCTTGGTTTACTTCTCTACTCACTGACCCTCCACTCTCTATTGGACCCGTTCGACCCGAGTTTTGACGGACGTTTTCAACTCGCGACACCGTCCCGATCGGCCTAGTGCAGTTCGACATGCCTCTCCCCATTCCTCCTGTTTTCGTACCCCCATGCAAGGCTTCCCCGTCGCGTGCGATACGTATTGCGACCATCATGATGGAAGAAGGATTGGCTGATGCGGGTGGAGGAACAAATCAACCAAGCTCACCTCTGACTTGGACCATAGAAGCACCCAACAAAGGAAGAGGTGCTTCGGAAATGCAGCGGAATGGGTTGAAGATGACTGGAGGAAACAGAAAAGTAAGTGGAATGAAACAGTGGTTCGGTGAAGGAGAAACTGAAGCACAATTTCAAACGGTGGTGTTCTGTGAATTGGGAAGTGCAATGGAGGCAGAGATTTGGGTGCTGAAATGTGATGCGGATGGGTGGAGATGTGCTAGTAATGGAGCGTAGCTAGGGAGAGAGGCTAGAGGAAACTCTCAAGCTCTCTCTCGATGACCTTCAGTAAGAAGAAAGTTCTGAACAGCATCAACAAAAACTATTCTTCATTCAAATC